AAAAATAGAGGCGTGTGCCGTGACTCATAGAACTTACACGGTAGCTTGTGAGACTTTGTGCCATATGTCGAGGCTCAATGCATTGTGGCAAATTGCACATTCCATGACAGCAGAATTTTACTATCAAATTGATAGCACTTAAGGTAGCTTTAGATACATCCTATTTCTCTGTCCGACGTCTGACTGACGCGATCTAAATGTCTACAGGAAGCTTTTTCTAAGCTTTGGTTATACACTCAAATTATTTTCCATTCAAGAATTAGACACTCATATTAAAACTTGCACTTTTTTATCAATTTTCATAAAACTAAGTGTCTAAATCACATACCAAAAGTTAAAAGCCATAAACATCACCCAAACCACATACAATAGACTAAAACGGACCTATGTAATACACCACCACATTCATAATGTTAATAAATTACTTTTTCAAGGCTCAACCTCTTAATCTCAAAATAGAAGGGAGAGTTCAAATCTCACAATTCATTAAATAATCCACAAAAGTCATATGTTATACTCAACTCTTACTTGCACCAGTATTTTGGTCTTGCTCTGGATGCCACAAGTCACATGCATAATCTTAAGGCTTAAAATACACTTTATAATTCACAAACACATAATGCAAGTTCTAAATGAATTAATCCTAGTTGGCAATATCATTCATCATATACACATACATACTCAAAAGATAAAAGAGGCCTACTACTTAGATGTCAAATCCTATGCCTCTAATTGTTTTCCTTTATCCAATCCTTTGGAGCTATTCCTTGTAATATTGAAAATAGTGGGGTGAGTACAACCACTCAGTAACTAAGGTCCAACTAACTCATACTAATGCATGTTAATTGATTTAAATACAAGTGGCAAGTTACTAAGCAAATTTCAATTTATGAACATATTCAATAGCATAGCTCAACCTTTTCGTTCACATTAAGACATACACATGAGATAATGATCAATATCGAGTCATGAAACATGTTTCAAAGCTTATATCCACATTCTCATTTACAATGATACCTGCTCATGAGATATTAATTAAATTAATGTCATTTTAGAAAGAACAAGGCTTTCACATGTTTTATTTCACTAAAGTCATAATATAACAATCATGTACTCTTTTTCACTATATGCATGATCATACTTCACTCATATCATTCTTATTCTCTGATACGAAACCATAGGCTATATGCACATTTGGTTCGTCTATACATTGAGACTATCGTAGCCAAAACACCTGTAAGAGGTTATTTGACCAAGGCTTCCCATCTTACTTGTAGGTCATGGCTTCCCCTATTTTCCCCACCATGGAGTGTCATTCTCCCTAGACTAATTCTCTCATTAAACAAGTGGATGACTAGTTAGGTTCAAGTCTCTCATTGAACCAGTGGGAGAGTCCTTCATTGAATAAGTGGGACAATATAAAATACAATCTAGGCTAACCATTAAGCTCTAATAGATGCCTTACCATGTGAATTTAAATCTCTACTCTTCCATCTAGGCGAACTCCCACATCTTAAGATTATGCAATGCATAGAAATGCATAATTCAAAGCATGCATTAACTCATTGTTGTACTCAATCATATACATGACAATCACATAATACACACACAATCAAATTGTTGAACTTCACTTTACCAATCTTATGGGACTTCTCATTTACAAATTCATTTAATTGAACTTTACACATATCCTATCATTAAACTTTACAACACACAATTTCATCAAACATTTGTCTTTTCAAGTCATTGAACTCCTTCTAACACACATTCATTGAATTCCACCTGGCACATCATCATTGAACTTCATGAAATCATATCACAAGAAATCCATCAATCATATTTCAAAGGATTTTGCATATAACATATCATTAAACTTTTGTAAAAATCATCAAAATGGATTTTCAAGAAATTTTATGCCACACTTACATTTCATTCAAACTCATATAATTCAATTATCAAATATCAAACTATCATCTAATTAACACATAAAAACATGAGAAAGAATCCCTCAATTACCTCGAACCCTTGAGAGGTCAAAGGTTTCACCCCTCAATTACTCACTCTCAAAGCTTCCAAAAAGCTTGAATGGTGCCGATATAATTTCTCTACAATCAATCACAATATACTTTGTCAATAACCAATTTGGATAATTTCCTGATATTAGCTCAACACTTCTTCACTCTTAAGATTCATTCTCTATCATATAAAAGCACCCATAGGATTTCTTAGCTTTCTTTAACTCACATTAACTTAATTGAACCCTTAAATTGTCATTAACAGAGCCACATTGTCCCAATGAACATATTTGTGGGGAATTTTTGAACAATAAATGTCCCCTAGTTGCCAATCATTATAAAACCATAAATGTTACATTTTAATAGCTCAAACAACTCCCATTAACTCTATTTAAGTTAATGAGTTTGGACTTATGACCTATATGGACTAAAAATCATCATTCTTAATTAAACCATAACTTCTAACATCAAGAAAATGGAAGAAGATATGAAGGTTTAGGCTAAAGAATCTTACCTCTATTGTTTGGAAGCTTTAAAACACCCTAAATCTTCAAATCTCCCAAGCCTTAGCACAGCTCTTCAATCACTCCTTTACTTCTCCTTTGTTTCTTCTCTTTTTTTGCTTCATTTCGAGATTTTATTTCTACAGAAATGTAGCCATGCGCTGTGACGAATACACCATGTGCCATGGCTCATGGCACAAAGAGGTTCATTTTAGTTGTTTCACACATGTGCACCACTGCAGATCATCTACAAGCTGCAGTGCATGGCACAAAATCTTACTCTTTAGATTTCCCTCATCTTTTTATTCCTGGGTGACCCAACTTCCTTTAGACCCTCATTTAGGTCTGAAATCATAACTGAACATGCCCATTAGATCTCTCTGGCCACACATCTTGCCAATAAACTTAATTACTCTAATCAAGCTTAATCAATCAAGTTTAAATTTTAAGGATATTACATAGGACTTGATCGCTTATCTCTTAAAATTAAACTAGAGCTAATCTAAATGTAGTATTTAGGCCAACCTTAGATCTTCTCACAATGAGGTGATTAAAACTTCCTAGGCAAGTAAACTAATTAACCAATTGAGTAAGGTGATTATCTAATTATCTAATGAATTAAAAGTGTAAGCTAAATCTAAGTGTGATTAGTGAACTTTCCTATTATAGTAGGAACCTTAAGACATTATTAATAAAAAATCCTAGCTTGTGAATGAGTATGGCAGCTCACTCAACTTTTTCCCTTGATAGAAAAATGATGATCACTCAAGACAACTATCCTAAGTAATCTAGACTCACTAACTCAATTTTTTAAGTGCTAATTATAAGCTCTTAAGCAATCTCACTAGCTTAACTTAAAAATTTTTAAGTGTTAATTATAAGCTCTTAAGCAATCTCACTAGCTTAACTTAAAAATTAACTAAGTGTTTAGTGAAGTTCTTTCTCCTAATAGCCTCGATCAACAAGGTACTCAAGCACAAGACTATATAACTTGAGCATTTAATCAAGCATTTATCAAACAATTACATGTTAAGTTAATGCAAGACATTCACAATTTCAAAATCACATATTACAATGTAATTAGTCATAGTGGCCGAAAAATCCAAATGGCAAAAGAGGAAGAAATTCAAGTCAACAAATTTGTTTCAATATAAACATTCACAACCAACTGCGAAACTAAAGTCAAATTAAATTACAATCAACTATAGTCATAATCTACTAATTAAAATGAAACAATATGAGAATTAAGTTGAGCTTAACCAAAAGTAGTCTTCAATGTTCCTTTTCCATCAACTCCTTTTTAAGATTTCATGGAGAATTTAGCTAGAAAATATTAACACCATCTTGTTCTCCCGAGAACTAGACAAGGTTGAGTAGAACTCCATGGAAATGTTGGAACCTAAGCTTTAATATCTATGAAAGTGGCAAGGTTTCGGCCGGCCAAGTGAAAGGAATAGAATGGTAAAAGAATTGAGTGAGTTTGATGGATGAAAATGGACAAACAATGGATTGGATCTGTAGGGTTTTATAGAAAGAAGGAGAAACTGAAAAACAAGCTGCTAATTCAATGAAACTAAGAGGTGAACCTAAATCACGCCCATCATCTTACCAATAGTGTTGCGGATCTACTTGCACAGTACGGAATGCATGCAACGCCTGAGTTTTACCATGTCTCAGGTGTTAGAGAATCTTGCTCGTGCATTAGCTTTGGACTTCACCCTAACTACTGTTGGTGAACGGTAACTGGGTTTTGGGCTTTATTTTTGTTTTAAAAAAAAAATTAAGGGCAAGCACTGTGACGCATTAGATGAAATCAAAACTCTAAAATTATAAGTTCATAACATACCCTCGTCTTCCAAGTCAGATCTTAAACCTGGTATGGTGTGATTAGGTCTCCAACTATAGTTTTTTACATCCAATTCTCCCTAAAACAGTAACCACGCACGACCAATCTAGAAGTTTAATTAACTAACTTTTATGTTATACATAATATTAATATATGTCTATATGGTTTTTGGCCTCGCTCAACACTAATATATGTGCATAAATAGATAGATAGATAGATATATATATATATATATTACAATACATAACACACATCCATAAATAAATGCTTCTCTTGCTTTAATTAACTTTCAAATAAAATCTTAAATTTAATTATCATGTGAATTTGTTTGGTTGAAATAGTATATTAATATTTAGTTTTTAAATTCTTTAAAGTGCTTTCAATTATTTGTATAAAAAAAAAGTGCGCTTTCCATTATTTTTTGAAGTTGATGGCCAAAAAGAATATTTTTTGTAGTTTACATTTTAAATTTGTTTTGTCATCCCATGCAATCTCCGCTCCGGCGTCTCCTCTCTCAGCCCTCTACATGTTTTTCATTTTATAAAGAATGGATTTGATGAAATTTAAATAATTAATTTATATAATTTAATCTAAATCAAAACAATAGTTTTATTTTACTTTTTCCCCTTTTGTGTGCCATGTCACCGTTGAAACACAGGCAAGGGAAGGAGTCTGGTCCTCCTCCGACTCCGAGCAGCCATCTCTTGGGCATATCCATTTTTTTGTTCGTCGTCAAGCATAGCCGCTGGCTGGCCCCTTCCCGCAGCCTCGGCCATAACCCAACAACAAGACCACAAATTGCAACGCCCAATTCCATTCCAACTGAACCATCTCTTAGCAGCTCATGACACAGACGCAATGACCAGGTCCGAAACTCCATCGTAGCCATCATTGCTTCGACTATCAGGTGAATATTTCCGTTTTTTAACTCCATTTTTTTCTTCCTTACATTTTCTACTCTATTTCCTTTCGGCCATTCTAATTCTTGGACAATCCCCGTCACGATTTCACGTTTTAGTTTGAAGAGAAAATGATTCCATATACCACTGTTACTGAAAATTTCATGGTTTCCCTCCAATTCTTATTAAGTTGGTGAAGTTGGGAGATAATTTTAGTGCCTTCATGTTAACTTGATGCTTTTGCTCTCTCTATCTTTTCAAGATTGATTCTTATTCATTACTATTATTGCGGGAATGCTTTTGCTATGGTTATGTTTTGGATTTGGAATGACATTGATTTCTAAGATATGCACGTTCTATCGGTTATGTTGCAGTGATTTGCTATTCCTCTGTATGTGTGTGTGTGTCCCCCCCAACACCCCCCCCCCCAAAAAAAACCCCCCTATTGTTTTTTATTATTGTGGGAAAGATTTTGCTGATGGTTGCGATGTGATGATCTCCTTTAAGATAAAGGCAGTTGCAGCCCTAATGTAGCTTAACACCAAAAGAAAACTGTCTGTAATCGTGATTGATTCTTAAAAAAAAAAAAAAGGGTTCAGCTCCAATCAACTCCACCAAGTGATTTCTCAGGGAACGTAGCCTACGATTTGGGATGTTTTCCTTTTGACTTTGGATCTTAGTGCCCTAAAATCCTGTACGTACAGACAATCTAGGCCTGTCTTCAGAGTCTCCCTGTGGTTGATAAGATCCTTGGACGAGTCCGTTGAAGCAAGAGATACTGCTTTGCTGTATTTTGAAGCAATACTAGAAAATTGACAGGGTTTGTATTTTTTTCTAGCACATATTTTTGGAATCGTAGTGCCTGGAATAAAATCTACTTTGATGGGAGAATTATACTATACTAGTTGTCCTACTGGTTTGATACATCCTATTTGTTTAAGGCTTCTGTTGATCACAATTTTAGGAGCATTAATGATTGAAGTTTCTGTAAAATTCCTTTCAAGTTTGTTGTCCTTATTAATTTTGGTTTATTCATGCCTTTGGTTCTGGGTTATGTTTATGGAATCTGAAATATAGTGTTCGTCAATTATTCTAGGTGGTGCTTTGGTATGAACATAGAGCATGAGAACAACTCTGATATATATATATATATCTCCACAGTGCGAAACTAAATAAACTATTTCCCTTTTCTTTTATTTCTAGGGTTGCATTTTATGGCAATATACTAATAGAGATTATATCAAAGCAAGGTTCTGGTTGTAGCATGGTTGGAGCATTTGACTTGAATGATCTTTTTCTGAAACTCAACAACCAGTACGCCCTTCTTCACCCAATCTCTATCCCTCTGTGTTTTTCCTATTGCTAAACATTTTGTTGTTGAGACAATAAAGTTTAGAAAATTAAAGTTAAAAAATTTTATGGATAAAATGGACCATTTTCTCATTCCAAAGTTGGCGTAGAATAATTTGGATTTGTTTGGTTTCAGTTATTGATAATCCAATTATACTGCTTGATGCAATTATTGGTATGGCTTCAAATTTGGAACCCATTCCAATTACATCTCAAAAACACGACCCTGCATGGAAGCATTGTCAAATGTTTAAGAATGGGGATAGGGTACAACTGAAATGTATATATTGTCTCAAGATGTTCAAGGGTGGTGGCATTCATAGAATTAAAGAACATCTTGCTTGTCAAAAGGGTAATGCCTCCACTTGCAGTCGCGTTCCTCATGATGTTCGGCTTCAAATGCAACTTAGCTTAGATGGTGTTGTGGTGAAAAAGAGGAAAAAGCAAAAAATTGAGGAGGAGATTCTTAATGTTACTCCTATATCTACTGATGTAAGCACAATTGCCAATCAGGTTGATGTAAATGCTGCTCTTCAGTGTCTTCCAGTTCCAAATCCAGTTGAGCACAACTCAACTTTGATGGTGAGTCCTGATGAAGGAATCAGTAGAACTCTAGAACGAAGAAAGAGGGTAAGAGGCAAGAATGATACATTAATGCACACAAACTCTGAGGTTTCTGCCTTGGATAAAAATGACTTGTTTCCCAAAAGGTTGGACAATCGCATTCATATGGCAATAGGTCGGTTTCTGTATGGTATTGGTGCACCTCCAGATGTTGTCAACTCAGTCTATTTTCAGCAAATGATTGAAGCAATTGCTTCTGGGGGCTCAGGTGTTGAACGGCCCTCATATCATGATCTTCGAGGTTGGATTTTAAAAAATACTGTCGAAGAAGTTAAGAGTGATATTGAAAGATGCAAGATGACATGGGCTAGAACTGGTTGTTCTATTTTAGTCGACCAGTGGGGCACAGAAACAGGTAGAATATTGCTAAGATTTTTGGCATATTGTCCTGAAGGTACAATCTTTCTGAAATCTGTTGATGCATCTGACATTATAAATTCCTCAGATTTTCTATTTGAGTTGATAAAACAAGTAGTAGAAGAAGTTGGAGTCACAAATGTCTTGCAAGTGATTACGCCTGGTGAAGAACAATATGCTGTTGCAGGGAGACAGCTGACTGACAACTTTCCTACCCTTTATTGGAGTCCCTCTGCAGCCTATTGTATTGATTTAATACTTGAGGATTTTGGAAATATTGAGTGGATTAGTGCGGTGATTGAGCAAGCAAAATCTATAACAAGATTTGTCTACAATTATAGTGCAGTCTTGAATATGGTTAGAAGGTACACTTTGGGGAATGATATTGTGGATCCCTCTTTCTCACGCTTTGGAACAAACTTCACAACACTGAAACGAATGGTTGATCTTAAACACAATTTACAGGCCATGATCACTTCTCAAGAGTGGATGGACTGTCCATATTCAAAGCAAACAGCTGGACTGGAAATGCTAGATTGCATAAGTAATCAGACATTTTGGTCCTCATGTGATCTGATTGTTCGTTTAACCATTCCTCTCTTGCAAGTTCTGAGAATAACTGCAAGTGAGAAGAGACCAGCAATGGGATACGTTTATGCTGGAATGTACCGGGCAAAAGAAGCAATTAAGAAAGAACTTGTCAAGAGGGAAGATTATATAGTGTACTGGAGTATTATACATCACAGGTGGGAGCAGTTGTGGCATCATCCTCTTCATGCTGCAGGATTCTACCTTAATCCAAAGTTCTTCTATAGTATTCAAGGGGATATGCATAATGAGATTCTCTCAGGGATGTTTGATTGCATAGAGAGGTTGGTTCCTGATACAAGAATTCAAGATAAAATTATCAAGGAGATAAACTTATACAAGACTGCTGCAGGAGATTTTGGGAGAAAGATGGCTGTCAGAGCTAGAGACAATCTACTTCCTGGTAAGAGCCATTTTATTAAAAAGAATTGATTTCTTCGGCCACTATGTTGCAATTTACCTTTTTTTTTTATTTGTTTGAAAGAAGAGAATAAAATGTATGAACAGTATTTGTTCAAAATAGAAAGGAGTGGAGATGTAAAATTTGATGAATGGAAAGAAGAAAACTACTGCCTGGTGCAGAAAGCTTATGGTTTGACATGATGACCAATCTTTTATGTGTTGAAGTTGAGATTACACATAAGTGACTACCACTTTGACTTTGGTATGAAGCTTTTTTAGGCCGTACGACCATTAGTTTCCCCCCTTTTAAAATGCTTGCAAAGGTGGATTGACACAGTTTCTTAACCTGGCTGGATTTACAAAAGTAACAGTTTACAAAATGGCTTTTAAGATTGGTAATGCTGAAGACATTCCGTTGGAGTATCTCCTTTCTTTGATGTCCAATTATTCAACTGACTTTTTCACCTATACATGCTATTTTTGTAGCTGAATGGTGGTCGACTTATGGTGGAAGTTGCCCTAACTTGGCACGTTTAGCTGTTCATATTCTCAGTCAAACATGCAGTGTGATGGTATGCAAGAGAAACCAGATTCCTTTTGAACAAATCATGAATACAAGGAATCACATAGAGCGCCAACATTTTACCGATCTTGTCTTTGTTCATTATAATTTACAATTAAGACAAAAGTGAGCGCAAACCCTTGGATATTTATGAACTTTACTTTGTGGTAATTCTGGTGGTAACTAAAGGGGGGTAATTGATATGTTGTCTGATTTTCTTGCAGGTCTATGAGTAAAGAACAAGATTTTTGTGATCCCTTATCATTTGAAAGCATTGGTAATGTTGATGACTGGGTAAGGGCTAAGGATATGCACTTAGAGGAGTGTGGGAATTCAGATTGGATGGCACTGGATCCATCTTCCATTAATACAATGTTGTTAAGACCTCTAAATGATGAAACTGAAGAATTGGGTGAAGGTAACCAATTTATCTCACTGCATGTAGAATTGACACATGAATTTGTATTATAATTAACATTTTTTCTGTCTACTTGTAGGCTTTGATGATATTGAGATTTTCAGTTGTATGAAAGATGGGGATATTGAAAATACAGGAGACAAGTTTGTAGACCATTAACCGGTGGATAGAAGAACCAAATCTGCAAAATCCATGATGGTGCCCTTCTACATTGTGACCAAATGCTGTAAAAAATAAACAGAAATTGTTCTCAAAAATAAATTGTGAGAAACTCTGGGGAGGGCTAGTTGGGCAGGTGTGCCAAAAGGACCATATCCTTTTCGTCATTGGATATTACGTGCCTGAACTCACCATGTTCAAGTACAGTAAACTCTTCTTTCATGGTAGCTTTAATGTATTTCTAGAAGCAATAGTGTGTACAGCTCTTCCAAACTGAGAAGTGAAAATAAATCACTCCAATTGAGGCAAATAAAAGTTTCATTCATTCTGTTTCTTACCAAGTTCATCTTATGATCATATTTGAGTTTCATTTTCTCCACAGTAAATGTTTTTTAGTGCAGGTTTCCTTGTATCAGTTATTACTCTTTTGTTCCTTCATTGTCCCACATTTCTTACTTTATTCAATGCTTTTGTAACTCAGTTGTACACACTTACCCGTAGTATGTTTAGTTGCCTTGAGTTATCGGCTGATAAGTCTGTATGGGTCATATAAGCAGAATTTTAGATTTGAGATTCTGATATATAGTTTCATTATTTTAACTTCTTGTTATATAATTTCATTATTGCTTCATTATTCTTACCTAATTGTTGTGCTCTTATTAAGTTTTATATCATGTTCTTTTAATTTTTCCTTTGGATACTCAAACGCCAAAAATTGCATTTGGTGTAAACTTCTTATGAATCTACCCATATTCTTCCTGTGATCTGGATTATATGAATTTTGTGTTTAGATGTTGACTATTGCAGCTATGGTTTACTTCTTGCATAGTTGGATATAGAATTTTAGAAAGTATGTTATTCGTTGTGCGAGTAGTATTCTGTGTAGGTGGTGTCTTATCTCTGGCCGAGCATATCCTTGATTGCAAGGTTTAACCTGTGATGTTTAATGTAGATGTGTAAGGCCAATGGGTAAGAAGGGAGCAGCTAAGATCTGATGTAGGCCCGGATGTGTTTGAATTCCTACCTTTTTATCAATTTATTGGAAAGAAAGGAGAAAGGCTGGGAGTCTAGTGATGATATTTAAAAAATATAAATCCATATATTTAGTGTTTTTATGAACTATTGATATTAAGAAAAATATATAAAAGTCAAAAGACATAAGATGTCAGAAAGCTCATTTCTTTTGAGAAATTTCACAACTGCTCTCTGTTTTTTTTTTTTTTTTAACTGGTGTTTTTAGTCTCATGTGACTTCCATTACCTCAATTTGGCTTGTTTTGTTCATTTTAAGGATTAAGCTCAACTATGTTGTGCCCTTTTGGATACTGATTTGGATGATAATGAACCCAGTACATTATATTTTGTACATTCCGCACCAGTTTGTGATAACCTCTTCACTCTTTAAATAAATCATTTTTGCTGCAATTTGTCTCTTGGTGTAAAAAATTTGAATCATTAGCATTTGATAATTAAAAGGCACGCGTTATTTACTGCTGCACATTTGCTGAAGTTGCGAATTTCTGAGAACAAGCTATAGATTTGCTAACGTTACTGCCCTCTTTTTTTTTTTTAAACTTCAATTGCTTGATCGATTTGAGAAAGATTTGTGACTTTATACAAATTGGCGTGTTATCTTTCTGTTGTATTCTAATACTTAATGCCCATTGTTGAGACACAAGGAGTTTATTTGATGATGTGAAGTTCAGGATATCTTGGGTTGAGTGAAGAAGGCTAAGTCCACTGTTTTGGCTTATGGTGGTCAAATTTCAACATGACTTTTCCATGCGCATAGTGAACAATTTGGATTCCCGTATTGCAAAATTCCTATCTTTCCCTCTTAGCAACGATCCCCCAATCCCAAATTCCTTTATCCCTCCCTTTTGCCCTCTGATTCTCTGATCCAGCTTGCTATCTCTATGAATGCTGACAGGAAGGCCGATAAGAAGTTCCAAGTTGAGGGAATTGTAATCAACAAGGAAGCATCGGCGGGGAAGATGCTGTCTGAGGAGTTTGTTCAAAAGACATGATGATTCAGCTCTCTTGAATTCCTGGGGTTTCAGTGTCCTGTTGCAGAAGGGCTTGAGTTTCGAAGGAGAGTGACCGTTGGATGGTACCATACCAAATATGTTGGCAAGTTCAACTAAATTGTGAATCGGAAGGGTGGCTGCTGATACGCACCCCACTAAGTGTGTGCATGGTTTCTGACTTTCTTCATCCAGCCATATCCGCTTCTTCAACTAACAATGCCTACCGTTACATCCTTCCCTCTTGGTGGAAAGAAATTGATTGTTGTATTATTGTATCCTGTTCCTGTATACAAGACAATTATGTTCGTGATTGAAGTAATGTTTTGTCCTTGTCCTGCTTTCCTACCCGCCACTTCACTTCTGATCTTGTTACTGGTGGATTCTATTCATCTTTATCTTCGTTGGATTCTTACTACGGCGTTTTATTGGAATTCTTAGATTACGGTCCCGTTAGTTTATTGAGGAAGAGGAAGGGGTAATCATAATTCCTTTTTTGCTTACATTATTTCGTAACATTTATTTCTTTTTCCGGAAATTTTCTGTGAATATTTTCTATTTATCTCATTTATTTCTTATTTCCTTTTTATATCTAATAGTTTCATGTACCAAAGTAATTTCATGTTTTTATAAATATTTTGCACGAAAATTCTTCACCAAAACATGAAATTGTAAGTTTTAACGTGATGCCAAGGATGCCCATGTATGGGTATGATTTACCATGGGATAATTGACGCGGAGCCCTTGAAATTAGGAGTTTTCCTTGGAGCTAAAAACTTACTTAGGCTTGTTTAGTAGCATTGAATTGGCAAAGTGAAAATAAAATTAAAGATGGAATCTTAATTTAAGCATGATTGGTATGCAAGAGTTATAATTTTTAAGAATCATAATTCCATCAAAAGTGCTAGAATCTAATTTCGTCATATTGACTATAGAATTACTTCAATTCCCTTGAATTTAATTTGTGGAACTCACATCCTTATCTTTTTTATCCATTTATAATAAGATAGGTCTTTTTAATTTAAAAAAGGGCAATTTAGTCTTTTCCTATTTTAAATACATATATAAATTAATATTATATTAAAATTTTATCTTCATACCAACCACACTTTTAAAACTCAGTTCTATTCCGATTTTGATTCTGATTTCAATTCCGATTTCGATTTTGATTTCGATTCCATTAAAAACTCTTCTATCATACCAAACGAGGCTTTAGGGTAAGACTTAGCTACTTAATCAAAACACGTGAATTTTAATGTATTAATAATATTAATAACAAAATATTTTTATAAAATAAATAATATATTTAATTAAAAATAAGTACATTAAATATATAAAAATAAGCATATAAGTTTTTCCCAAAAACTTAAATGTCCAACGATCAAGAGGTAAACCAATAAATAGATTAGTTCAAAATAACAGCCAAATTAGGAGAGCTTCAAACTGATGCAAAGCCAATAAAAACTGATAAAATTGATGAGTCATACGGTTGAACCGATCACGCACTTTTTATTTGTTTTTTCATATTCAATCCATATTTCTAATTGATGAGGGCAAAGGAAAAACAATTCAACCGAAAACTTATTTTAAAGAAATAGATCGAGTAGGAGATTGGCACACACGAGCCACTAGCTAGTTCCAAGGGTTCAGTTTCGATTCACTTTTCTTAAGTTGTAAAAAAGGTGAGCAAAATATAACGGATGGTTCAGGGCCTTCGGAAAAAAAAAAAAGAAAAGAAAGAAAGAAAGAAAGGACGCATGGACTGTAATTAGGCATCTTCAAAAGAAAAGGAGTAATTGATACTTCTAGTGATATTGTTGAAGCATAATAATCATCGCTGTTTTGAAGCTATAATTAACCTCGGATTGGAACATAACAATTATAGAGTTAAAATGCATGTAATCAATATAGAGAAGAACGAAGAGTGAATCCTTCACATCTGTACAACCAAACAGTCCTGGGATTTAGAGCGGACACACAGAAGTGGTAACAAAAGTTGAATTGACAGCCCAAATTAAAAAAGAAAGCAGATACATTTGCTCAGTGCCTTATTCCTATTGTAGTCATAGCCTCTGGAATAGAATGCAACGGTTTCTGCTCCAAGAAAAGGAAGGAAAGGAAAGGAAGGAAACCTGACAGCAGAAGCTGGCAAGCGAACGCTGCTTCAAAAGATAACAACCATGTCAATGTCGTCTCATATGAACATTAGAGAAAGACACTTTCATCGTTAAACTCGAAAGCTAACCCAAAGTTGTTCTCCCAGCTGCTGATGGCTGTATGAAAGAGCCTGTATTGTCTCTTTGGAATGAAAGAGTCAGAATTCAACACTTAACAGAGTGGATAAATAATTCGAGTGGCCAACAGCTAAACCTGAATTAGCGTGGGATTAAAATAATGTTCGCTTAAGAGAAGTAACACAAATGTCAGATATTAAAGTAGACGAGTTAATGGGCCATTAACAATACACACACAAAACAAGCGAAATGAATCATGCACTCTATTCTAGCTGTAGCAACTGTGTGTGTGTGTGTGTGTGTGTGTGTGTGTGTGTGTGTATAATTAGGCAAAGCATGCTTTACAATTCTTGGAATTGCACACTTAATCATTTTCCTTCAACATGATTACATGCAGGCATTCACAGAAGGAGCTAACATGTACAGAGCCTTGCATGGCACGGAAACGGAGTGAAGATGTTCTCTGTCATCATTTCTCCAATTTGAGTTATACTCAAGGTGTCCGTGTCTACACTTCACAGTTCACAGGGTTTTCAGGGCTAGCAATGTTTCCAGATCATTGCCACACCTGCCAGTTCACAACAGAAGCGATGCTGCCATAACCATATCCTACGAAGCTCTGTCTCGTGTTCATGATGATCCAACATACGGTTGTGTTTCTCATATATTTTCCCTGCAGCAACTGGTCGTGATGAACTGTGATCTTGGTGAGTTCTTTTGGGATGCTTAAACCATGCATGACTCTGACTCTGAGGTTGCTAGCTCGCAGGAGGAGATAGATGTTCTTAGCATGATGGTGAATTCTAGTGTTGGCGCTGCTCGTGAAAGTGTTGAATCTGAATATCTCAATTCATATGTATAATAAAATATGATAGAATAAAATAATTCATGCGTACCTGAAGAATCCATGAGTGCTAGAGAAATCTTGATTACCTCGAGTATGGGCAGGTACACAACCCTCAAGTCCCCAGAGCTTTCAGAGAGTTCAGAGATAATGAAAGTAGAAGAAAATGAGTCGTGTGTTTGTGGTTACCGACTAATCGTCTTATATAGATCAGATCGGTAACCGCCTTATTAATATAATTAAATAATTATATTATCTATTATCTCTGACTCAGTCAGTTAAGAGATAGGAAATAACTGACGACTACTGGGTTGTGGGTTGGGCCTCTGCCCATTGGGCTCACTTGTGTGGTCCACCTATCACGGTCCACACAAGATCATAAGGACCAATTTATTGGGCTTATTAATTAATGCTAATTCATAAATAATATTCCAACAATCTCCCACTTGAATTGCATTAATTAAGCAAGTTGTATAAACAAGCCACAAACAAATTCAGAAAATGAAACTCCACAAAATCACTGAATCCTATGGGGAAACAAGTGATATGATATCTCATAATCTGAGTAAAATATGAAATTTTATTTCAAACACAGCTCAGCAAGATAACAACATAAATCACTGATTCCTATGGGGAAACAAGTGACATGCATAGCGTACCACAATAGAATCATTGAATCCTATAGGGATACAAATGATATAGATGCATCTAACTGAACTGAACATAACTCACAGAAGAAAACAAAGCCTAAAGAGAAATTGCAACAAAGAAGGTTCTCAAACTCCCACTAAACTAGGGCATCAAAGGAATTCATAATACCCATACAAGTTACATGATTTTGAAAAACTTCTACAGGTAAGCCCTTAGTCAGCAGATCTGCAAGCATCTGCGTGCCAGGAATGTGTACCACACGGGTTTGAGACTCAGCAATTTTCTCTTTCACAAACATAAGTTTGATATCAAAATGCTTTGTACGACTGGAATTTCTGTGATTGTTAGCATAGTATACTGTAGATTTGTTATCACAATAAATGGTTAGAGGACGTGATATTGACTCAACTAGGTGCATGCTAGATATCAACTTCCTCAGCCATATAGCATGACGTGTAGTCTCAAAGCAAGCAATATACTCAACTTCTATAGATGAAACTGCCGTAAGTGTCTGTTTCACACTCTTCCAAGAGACAGCTCCTCCAGACAACATGAAAATATAGCCAGTCATGGATTTACGATCATCTAGACAAGAGGCAAAATCTGAATCTGAAAAGCCAACAATCTCAAGATCTTCTGATCCCTTAAAGTCATAATCAGAATATCCAACAATCTCAAGGGAATTTGACCTTCTGTAAGTCAACATATAATTCTTTGTACCTTGAAGATACCTCATAACTTTCTTAGCAGCCTTCCAATGATCCGGACCTGGATCATTTAAGTATCGACCCAGCACTCCAATAGCAAAGGCTATATCTGGTCGAGTACACACTTGAACATACATAAGGCTGCCGACAGCGGAAGCGTATGGTATCTTTCTCATTTCAGCCCTCTTCTTATCATCCTTGGGACACTGTGACTTTGACAACAGCTCACCTTTCTGTACAGGAGCAGGTGAAGGAGAACATGAATCCATTTTGAATCTCTTAAGTACCCGCTCAATATAAGTGGCCTGTGATAAACCAAGAATACCACGAGATCTATCACGATGAATTTGTATCCCAAGAACAAAGGAGGCTTCACCCATATCCTTCATGTCAAAATGACAAGACAATAGGTGCTTTATCTCATTGAGGAAATTTATTGAATTGCTGGCTAATAAGATATCATCAACATAGAGAACAAGAATGGCAAAATTGTTCCCATCAAACTTCTGATAGATGCACTGATCTGAGACATTCTCAACAAAATCGAGAGAGGTGATAACTTCATTAAATTTCAGATACCACTGCCTAGAGGCTTGTTTTAGACCATAGATGGATCTCTTTAATCTGCACACTAGATGTTCTTTACCGAATTCAACAAAACCATTAGGTTGTGTCATGTAGACTTCTTCATACAAATCGCCATTCAAGAACGCAGTCTTGACATCCATCTAGTGAAGATTAAGATCAAGCTGTGCAACTAAAGCCATTACCACTCTAAAAGCATCTTTGGTGGATACCGGAGAGAAGGTTTCTGTGCAATCAATACCTTCTTTCTGGTTATAGCCTTTAGCTACAAGTCTGGCTTTATATCTATCAATTTCACCCCTAGCTCCTCGTTTTGTTTTAAAGACCCACTTGCAACCCACTGGTTTAAACCCCTTTGGTAGCTCTAGAAGCTCCCATACGTGATTGCGGTATA